GAAGACTGGAAAGCTAGTACAGAAGTCAAGACCGCTTGCCTTAAATGTAGCTGAGCCTGGTTCTACCCCCAGCTCTGGTCCCCTGAGCACTGCCAGGTGCCCCCAAACAAACAACAATAAAAATAACAACAACAAACATCTCTCTTGAAAGAACAGCCCTGACGTTGGCAGTGATTGAACATTATTTTTACACAGTTGGAGGAAAAGTGAATTTCTTCAACCACAGCGAATCCAGGACGAAGGACCTGCCGTCTACAGGCAAATCTGGAGCGTGCAGGGTAAAGCACCTTTAAGATTGCCTGACAATGAAGAAGTCTCTCTCCAACATGGAGTGTGTCTGAAAATGATGGAAAAGCTGGTGAGTTAAGGGTTAGGGAAATGAGAGTCCTCTATGGTTCATGGAGGGAACGCTGAGAAATAGGATGTTACCCAGCCCCCAGGAACCCTGCCACCCCGCGTTGCAAGGCTGCACCTCTGCTCCCCTGGGCATCCTTGCGTGAGCTCCCCTGGGCATCCTTGCGTGAGCTCCCCTGGGCATCCTTGCATGGGCTCCCCTTGGCATCCTTGCATGTTGCTCCCCTGGGCATCCTTACATGGGCTCCCCTGGGCATCCTTGCATGAGCTCCCCTGGGCATCCTTGCATGAGCTCCCCTGGGCATCCTTGCGTGAGCTCCCCTGGGCATCCTTGCGTGAGCTCCCCTGGGCATCCTTGCATGGGCTCCCCTGGGCATCCTTGCATGTTGCTCCCCTGGGCATCCTTACATGGGCTCCCCTGGGCATCCTTGCATGAGCTCCCCTGGGCATCCTTGCATGAGCTCCCCTGGGCATCCTTGCATGAGCTCCCCTGGGCATCCTTACATGGGCTCCTCTGGGCATCCTTGCATGGGCTTCCCTGGGCATCCTTGCATGGGCTCCCCTGGGCATCCTTGCATGGGCTCCCCTGGGCATCCTTGCATGGGCTCCCCTGGGCATCCTTGCATGGGCTCCCCTGGGCATCCTTGCATGAGCTCCCCTGGGCATCCTTGCATGAGCTCCCCTGGGCATCCTTGTGTGAGCTCCCCTGGGCATCCTTGCATGGGCTCCCCTGGGCATCCTTGCATGAGCTCCCCTGGGCATCCTTGCATGGGCTCCCCTGGGCATCCTTGCATAAGCTCCCCTGGGCATCCTTGCATGTTGCTCCCCTGGGCATCCTTACATGGGCTCCCCTGGGCATCCTTGCATGAGCTCCCCTGGGCATCCTTGCATGGGCTTCCCTGGGCATCCTTACACGGGATTCCTATATACCTTAATGAGAAGAGCTAGAAGCACAGACAATCCAGTGAGGACCCAGAAAGTCTGTCCTGCTCCCCCACATTATGAAGAGCTGGAGGAAGCTTATTCAGAAGAAGAAACTGTTGGTTGTTAATGTAGGAGGAGGACATGTTTATGAATGTTGCAAAATTTTTTTTTAAATTATCACAGCCCAGAGGAGGAAAAAAATAAATTATTCTAAAGGAATGTTAAAAACCTCCAAAGTGAACATTTCAAGGTCCCAAACCCAATCAGCTGAGGTTTGCAGGAAACTAACTGAAGCTATTGGCAGTGACTATTGTTTTCATGCAAAGGTTTTAAGTTGAGGGCTTGGGTTAGAAGGAAGATGGCTCAAAAAGCAGGAGTACATGCTCTGCCTACAGGAACCCCAGATTCAATCCAATGGTCCTCCAGAGCACCACAGGATTAACACCCAAGCACAGAGCTAGGAGTAACCCCTGAGAACGTGTGGGTGTGACCCACAAACAGAAAATAGACAACCGCCCGAAAAAAAGAGGGAGGGATGAAGATAAAGTCTGTTATTTCTTTTCCTTTAAAAAATATTCATTTATTTATTTTGGGCGGAGGGACATACCAGCCTGTGCTCAGGGGTTTACTTCTGACTCTCACTCAGGAATTACTACCGGTGGTCCTTGGGGGATCATCTGAGATGCCCGGGAGGGAACCCCGGTCAACTGTGTGCAAGGCAAATGCCCTCCCCGATGCCCTGTCACTCTGTCCCAGGGTTATAATTTCAAGATGAAACATAGCAGAGTCTGTGAGTCTGGGGCTTCTTACTTTGTAGAGAAGTCCCTGGACACACTGAATAAGGCTGGTTCTTGGAGGTCCCTGGGGAGGGTCAGAAAGCACTTTCCTGACCCTGTCACTTGCTCCTCAGCGACTCAGCGCTGTTCTGAAGCCTGACCCAGCAGGAAATGGTAAAGGAATGGACAGGAAGCCCAAGACAAGGCCGGGAAACCCCTCCCTCCAGTCCCAGACTGCTGGGAGAGCCTGAAATGGAAAGTGACGCCCTCACCCCGACAGGGCTGGCAAGGAGAGTATTTGAATGAAGAAAAGGAAGCAGTACCTGGCCCCGTGGGGGCATGTACTGCAGTGTTTTACTGTGTGTTGCTTTACTGTGACTTTATATAATTTTATGTTTGATGGTTAGTCACTCCCAGCTCTCCCCACTGTTCTCACTAGGGCCAAGCCTGTTTCCGTCCCCCCAGACACTGGTTTGTGTGTTGGTGAGCAGCTCACGGAGAGGACAACCTTCCCTGTTCCTCATTTCTGGCTCCTTGCAGGTCACCTGTCTCCTGGACAACTTGACACACGTTTGGTTTTTAAAAATTGTTTCATTTTTAAAAACTACAAAGCTTTCATAATTGAGTTTTAGTCATACAATGATGGAAGACCCATCCCTACACCAGTGCACATTTTCCACCACCAATGTCCCCAGTATCTCTCCCACCCCCCACCCTGTCCCCACCCCTCCCCCTGCCTCTATGGCAGACAATTCCTTCTGACTCTCTCTCTACTTTGGGGCATTACGGTTTGCAATACAGATACTGAGAGGCCTTCATGTTTGGTTCTTTGTCCACTTTCAGCACACATCTCCCATCCCGAGCAATTCTTCCAACCATCATTGAGTTAGTGGCCCCTTCTCCAGCCCAGCTGCCTTTCCCGCCAGCACATGAGGCAGGCTTTCAGACCGTGGAGAGATTCTCCTGGCCCTTGTCTCTAGTGAACCTGACACATGTTGAAGGATACTTGGGCCAAGTGGGGAGCCAGGGGGAAGACTTAGAAAATAGTGCTTCCAACTCTCTACTTGACCACCTCGGCCACCCAGGGAAGACCCTGGTGTGGGTCAGGACTGATGACAGCTTTCAGCAATGCAAGGCATGGGAGCACGTGTCCCCAGCCTTATGAAGCAGCTATCAAGTGGCACCAAGTCCACGCGATCTGGAGGGTGTGGGACTAGATCCCCCCACCTGAGTCCTCTGGGAGCCGCGAATCCAGGCTGGAACATGGGAACGCTCTTTGCAGGAAAAGGCGTCAGTCCTGACCTTGATCCAAGGTTTCCCTCACAGACAAGAATTTCAGGAGGAGACCAAACAGTGAAGTAAAAATAGTTTTGTTTAGAGACATTGATTCAGAGAAATATGAGGAGAGAGAAAGTGTTCAAGAGAGAACATGGGCTTCTCCAGAGAGGGGACAGCCGAATGCACATCTCAGGTTGAGGTGCAGGCCAATCTCCAGGGTGGAGAGTAAGCCCTGCATGCTTTTACAAAGTTGGTTTCATAGGGGGGCTTCTCCCAAACTGACCCCACTTGGGGCTATCTTGGAGTATTATCCAGAAGAAGAGACCTGGATTTAGTGTTTTTGGGGGGAACACACTATACCCAGCAGTATTCAGGGCTTACTCCTGGCTCTGTGCTAGCAGTGCTAGGGGACCACATAGGGTGCCAGGACAGAACTTGGGTCAGCTGCATGCAAGGTAATTGTACTCTGTACCTGCTATACTATTTCCTGGCCACAAGTCTGGGATTCTTGGTGGTTCTTTCATATTCTTATCATGACCTTTAGATTCTCTTGAAACTTTTCCTTTCCTGAGGGGTTCCATTCTCTGGGTGTTGGTCCAGTTTCTGGTTCAGGATGATTGGCTCATTTTCTCCATTTCCAGGGGCTCAGTATCTGCATCTCAAAGAGATATACTCTTGTGCTTTTGGGCTACTTCTGGGCTAGGCAATTTCTTATTTTCTTGTTTCCTGAAAAACAAATTGAAACCTCCCCATTCTATTCCCCCCAACCTCCATCTCTCTGCGACACAATCTTATGAAATGGCCAATGGGATGCAGGGATGGACAACATCATTTCCCCAGGTTACTTAGTGTGGAATGAGACACTCTCCCTGTGTTCTTTGGGGAGAGAACAAGACTGTGATCTAACGGGAAGAACTAGTTCCCCAAGAAACCATCTCTGTGCGCCAAGACCTTGGAGGTAGAAAGTTTCAGTGAGGACCAGAGCAATGGATAGTACAGTGGGGAGGGTGCTTGCCTTGCACGTGGCTGACCTGGCTTTGGTTCCCAGCATCCCATATGGTCCCCTGAGCCCCACAGGCATAATCCCTGAGCACAGAGACAGGAGTAAGCCCTGAGCACTTCTCGGTGAGGCCCCCAAAACAAAGCCAGAAAAGATGGCCAGCATTTAAGTTTCATTTCTGGAGTCAGGGTCAGGTTCTGCAAGCTATGTAGCTTGTGATGGAAAATAAATTCTATGTCGACATGCTGCAGGTGCCTGTGGGCTGAGGAGGTGATTCCTGGACCCCTGAGGTCACCAGTATGTGGGATTGGGGGTGGGGGGGGAAGGCGGTCCTCCAGATCTGTAGCCTCCTACTTGACTTGTTGCCTGGAGAAAGGAGAGACCCCTCAACTTCATGCTGACCCCTTCCCGACTTCCGTGAAAACACATTGTCTTCTGACTGGCAAGAGGCAAACAACTAGGTTTTGGAAAAGGCAGGCCGGGGTGAGTCCAGCATCATTTCATAACTGCTGTGAGGAGTTATTTTGCTGTCTTTCTCCTCACACCCCCACCCCCTTTTAATCTTTCTGGTTTTGATGTAGATCTCTTTCTATTTGTTCAGGAAGTGGTGACGTGTGAGCTGGGCAGGGTCTGAGGTTTTGGAACCTTTTCTAAAAGGGACAGAGAGCGCCCCCGGTCCATTTCCTCCCCGAGGAGCTGCCACGCCAGGATGCAGGTGACCCCTCCTCACTCCAGCAGGCTGGGCCTGGCTCTCGTCGTCCTCCTGGTTTGGGGGGCTTCTGTTCAAGGTAAGAGTCAATGGTTGTGCCCTCTGCCGTCTCGGTAAGCCCCACAAATGAGTAGGATCATGGAAAGGTAGGGAATGCAGGCCACCTCCCCCGGGGTAAGGGGGTGAGGACAAGGGATTTGGGGTGACCGAGAAGAGTTTGCTTAAGTTTGACACTAAGGAAATTTCAACTCTGAAATAAGGCGGCTTATAAACTCTTAGAATAATTGGAATATGCTATTTTTCCTTGGGATGAAAACATGGTTTATACTCTTTTCGGTTTGCTTTTATTTTGGGGGGGCCACACCCAGCAGTGCTCAGGGCTTTCTTGGGCTCTGTGCTTGAGGGTCACTCCTGGTGGGGCTTGGGGGCTCTCCTACACTGCTGGGGGTCTAACTTGGGTTGGGTGCGTGCAAGGCAAGTGCCTTAACCTCTAAGCCGTCCTCTGCTCCAGCTAATACATTAAAAAAAAAAAAAAAGACAAGGAGGGCACATAGAAAATAAGTCAGCGTGGGTATCTCGTACCAGTACATCCTAGAGGGGTTGGAATCTCTCTGTGCCCCTTTCCCCCCGTGGCTACATCAATGCCAAGTTTTAATCTATTACAGTGTTGTCATAGTTATAGTAAGTGGCAAAATGCTATTTTAAAAGATCAGTGTGCATTTGACCACATGTCATTCCCCCCTCCCTTCTTTTTTAAAACTTCCTAGTGAAAGTCTCTTCATGGCTGGAGACAGTTTATATAAGCCCCTCTCGGGTTTCAGAGAGGCCAAAGAAATGGAGTGTTCGTGCCTTTGCTCCCTGAGACAGCATGTAGGGAAACTTCTTGCTTCTTTATCTTTAGAGCTGCTTACTCAGACTGAAACAACTCCAAACTGGTGATGAAAGAGAAAAGAATCTGTAAGAAAAGTCACAATTTCTTAGATAAATAAGGAATCTTGTCTAAGTGACGCAGAAGGCTGTGGCCCCTGCCTGATTAAGTAAATGGGAGAATTGACAGTAGGGGAACACGGGGAGCCCCCAAAGCTTGAAGGAAATAGAGAGTCATAGTGTCACACCAAGTCCTTGAGTCGTCTCAGAGTGACCTCTCTCACTGGTGGAAATGGAACCGCACCAGTGATCTCAGATACACCCATGAGGTATTGGAAGTTTATGCAATATCTTTATCCTCCTTAGGGAGAAAAGGCAACTGATACTGAAATCTTTCTATGAGTATAAAACATCGTTGATTAAAGGGAATAGGTTGATGTGTATCTTTTAGGGAAAATCTTTTTTATTTTGGTTTGATTTTGGTTTTTGGATCATATCCAATAGTGCTCAGGTCTTACTCCTGGCGCTGTACTCAGGAATCACTCCTGGTGGTGCTTGGGAAACAATATGGAGTGTCAGGATCAAACCCAGGTGGGTCCCATGCTGTAGTATTGCTCCAGCTCCATTTTTAAATAAAATCTTTCAGTCTGATGAAATAACGTGCCCTGGCAAGATTGCCTAGAGAGGTCACACTGCCCACTAATATTCCAGAGATGCGACGAGAACCCAGATACAAACACTTCACTCACAGCAACTGTCATCAGAGACAATGAACACCACACGGAATGATGAGAATGACAAAAGTGAATGTCATCACCTGGTGGGTCTAGCTCTCTCTGTTGGAAAAGCAGAGAGAGAAAGAGAGAGGAGGAGGGGTGGGCAGGAAGGAGGGAGAGAGGGAGGAGAATGAATGGATGAAAATCTAGGGTATTTCCAAAGGAGAACCCCGAGGTGTTGGAATGAGGGGCCTGCCTCATCCTTGAAGAGAAAAATCCCCCAGGCCGCAGGGTGCTGCAGCTAAGGCCGCTGACCTTCCTGCGCACCCATGGGCCGCCATCCTGCCTGGCCACGCTCTTTCCTACCAGAGACATGTTTCTTTCCACTCAATCAGCTGGGCGTTTGGCTTACTTTGACCGAGCTTATCCAGCACACCTTGGTTGTCTTTATTAGTCTTCTAGGACAGACATAGTCAACGCAGTGTGCGTGTGTGTGCGCGTGCACGAGTGTATGCATGCATGCACGAACATGCTAGCTGCCCAAAGTCAAGGTGTTGGCAGGGCTGGTTTTAGTCAGCATCTCCTTGATTTGTGGGTGATGGCTCCTCTCTGCTTCCCCACATGCTCTTTCCTCTGGGAATCCTGTTCCCTCTTCTCTAGACTCTGGCTCATCCAGATGTTCTCAATCCATACGCTTGGTTTTCATTTGTTTTTTGTTTTTTCCCTTTGGAGGGGGGGAGTCACAACTGGCCACAACTGGCAGAACTCAGGGTTTTGGGCCACACCTGGCAATGCACAGGGGTTCCTCCTGGCTCATACACTCAGGAATTACTCTTGGCGATGCTCAGGGGACCATATGAGATGCTGGGAATTGAACCCGGGTCAGCCGCGTGAAAGGCAAATGCCCTCCCCGCTGTGCTATTGCTCCAGCCTCACTGGCCTGTATTTTCCGACCCAGGACATATCCATGTACACCTCGTTTTACTTTAATGACCTCTTGTTTGTTTGTTTTGTTTTGGGGCCATACCCAGAACTTACTCCTGGCTCTGCTCTCAGGGATCACTTCCGGTGGGCTTGAGGGTCCATGTATGGTATAGAGTGTTGAACCCAGGTCAACCGCCTACAAGGCAAGCACTCCACCCACACGGGCCCCCTAAATCATCTGTTTTAAGGCTATCCTTCCGCATACAGTCCCGTTCCATCGCTCTCGGGACAGAACTACACCAGAAGTGACTGCCAATCAAACCTAAGTTATATCTTCTGAATGCAAAAAGACGGAACATGGGCAACGAGCTGGTGGGAGGCCATGAGGGCGCTGGTAGCAAATCCCTTTTACACAGAGCTCCAGGGTAACTGCAAACACAAACCGACACTTTTCACTTCTTCTGGCTTTCAAAGATGCCCATAAAGAGAGAAAATGGAAAAATCCATCCTTGGAAGTGAGCAAGGGGGCCAGGTCAGAGCATGTGTCTTCCCCGAATTGTGCCAGTCCCATTCGTTCACTGTTCACTGGGTCACTCATGGTGTGGCTCTGTACTTGTCTGTGGTTTCCCACTCATTCTCTGGTGATGACTGTCACGTTCCCTGTGAGAAGTACAGAGAAAACCGAATCCTCAGCAGTCATCTTTATTTGCCATTACGTCAGCCTCTTAGAAAGAAATGAATGACACTTGCCAAGGCCCATTACAACTAAGTGGTGGCGAAACTGGCAGCTGATTGCAAGGTGGGAAGCGTTTCAGCCATCTGCTGGGTGATAAGGGAGCACGCTTATTTGAAATGGGGGGAAAAAATCTTCCTTCGACCATAGTCCTTGCTGTCGTTTCTCACTTGGTTGAGGAAGGAATTGAAAGAACACTTGGAACTTGTCAAACACGGAAGGGGTAGGGACCTTATTCTTTCTGTGGGGCTGACAAAGCGGTAGGAAGACATAGCATCTGTCTGCAGGTTCCTCCCCTCTCCCCCCAAATTATGAAGCAAAATAGTCGCTCCCCTTCACGGCACGTCTGCTTCAGCTTTTCAGTACACTGGAGGCAGGTGTCCACAAGAACAGGGAATCAGGAAATTGTGATATTGTTGGGGAAATCTGCACTCCAGTGTTAAAAAGAGAGCCCACCGGGCTAAATTCTTTGCTTTGGTAAGGTGTAAAGTGCAAAGCAGGATGAGTGAGTGGTGTTTGTGGGGGTGTGAATCTGTGTGAGTGTGTCCACCGGTCACAGGCAGTGAAGAAAGGGATTCTAAGGTCAGAGAGACTGTATAGTGGGTAGTTCACTGGCTTTGCACAAGCTGACCTAGGTTTAATTCCGAGCACCACACAGGGCCCCCTAATCAACACCAGGAGTGACCCCTGAGCACTTTCAGGAGTAAGCCCTGAACTCCACTGATGTGGCCCAAAAACGGAAAGAAATAACAACAACAAAACCAAGAAAGAAAGAGTGGGATTTGGTTTCTCCTGGAATTCACCAAAAATTAATCAGCAGACCAAGGAAGGGGGCGCTTTTTAGGAAGATGATCTTTCTGTACAGGAACTTTTATTTAAAACCTTTTCTTCCTCTGCATACAATAGAGAAAAGAAAAGAGGGGGGAAAGGAGGAATAATTCTGAGCATTGAAATCATTTTTCCAGTAGTCCCTTACTGTTAAAATTATAGCAATCATGATATTTCTTTTTACACAAATAATCAAGGCACTCCCCCAGCCAACACCCTGGAAGATAACTCAGGAATTTTTGTCTGCAACCAAGCTCTCTGTTTCATTTTATTTAATTAATTAATTAATTTGTTTTTGGGTTTGGGGCCACACCCAGCGATGCTCAGGGGTTACTCCTGGCTCTGCACTCAGGAATTACTCCTGGGCCTGCTTGGAGGGACCCTATGGAATCACGGCTGTAGGCTAGGCAAGCAACCACCCGCTATACTATCTCTCCACCCCCTCATTTATTTTTCTTCTTTAAACTGTGCCTGCCAGGGACTGGAGAGATGATACAGTGTTTAGGGCGCTTGTCTTGCACCCTGGGTTCTAACTCCCGCATCCCACGTGGCCCTCTAGCAGTGCCAGGAGTGATGCCTGAGCGTAGAGGCAAGTGTAACACCTGAACTTTGCCGGTTGCCCAAAGTCAAAAAATAAAATAAAATGAAAGATGCCTGCCATAGCAGTGGATACCCCTCGGGCGCTTCACCCTCTTACTAGGGGTACGCAGTGTGGAAAAATACCGCCCTCTGCTGGACGAGATTTTTATAAACCCCTAAGAAGCTTCCAGAGGAGCAATTAGCTGCAGGACTTTTGCTGCCTCAGGAAAGAATGAGAAAAGTAGGGTGGGAAGCTAAAACATGCCAAGTGCCAATATCCCCTCCAAGCCCCTGAAACAATTCAGCAGCCAGGTGTAACTGCAGGCGTGTGTTGGGTCTTGCCTTGAAAGAAGGAATTTCCAGGGCCCTAGAGATAGTGCGGCGGTAGGGCACTTGTTTTGCACGCGGTCAGCACAGGTTTTGACTCTTGGT